ATCCATAAAGACCTTAATGTTCCATATGTTTCCGATTTGGCCCAATCCAGATACCTATCTTTCCATAACAAACTGCAGAACCATCCGAATCCTCTCGTTTCAAACCTTGCTTCCTCCTCGATATCTGATAACCCTCCGAGGCGTCTGAAAAGAAGATGGCCTCGGGACCTTCTAATATAGAACTTTAATTTGAGTTCTACCAATGAGTAGTTTCTCTTCATGTCGTACATGTCATATTACCAAAGTCACATTTACTTGTTGTATTTCTCATGTAATACAGTTGTAAATCTCATTAAAATAAAAAAAATTTAAGTAATTATTCACTTAATTTTATCTGCTTCAACTCATTAAAACTCGAGAAATTTGGATATACAGACCTCCAAAGTCTGTTTACTTTGTGGGTATATCTATTCTGAGGAATGGCAACTGAAGAACGAATCCTAACCATGAACATAGAAAACAACTCGAAATCCAACGAAGCCACAACAAGAAAGTCTTTTACCTCAATTGCAAAATCAACATTGACTTCAAAGAAAGACCAGGGTATTGTATTCACTGGAATTGAAAAAAACTTCCATCTTGAAATATATCGTAGGCCTGATATACTGAGGAACTGATAGGCCCAGGTAAAATAACATTTTCTTCTAAAATCCCTAATAACCGAATCGTTTTATTTCCATCAAATATATTAGACTTCCTTGAAATACACAAGGGTATTACAGTCGATGGTAATTTCATTCCAGCGCACCTCTAGATCGTAAATTCAAAAATAATTGTTAAATCTAATGTCCATCCATATCTCCCCAGTATTCTAATAGAAAATAAATTAAAAGAGATAGGTATCAAGCTATACTCAGCAGTAAATTACCTTCGCGCAGGGATCAAAATACCCGGGTATGTGTGTAATATGTGTAATTAATTAATAAAAATACCTTTAGAACAAACGTAGGTGTGCTTTATTATTTATTACAAAATATACCATCTGTCTTGTCTTTATCTAACTAACATGTGTAATCGATTATATTATAATTTATAAATAGAGGTTACAGTCTTATACTACAATGTGCATATCATCAGCTCCAGAAGACACACATTTGCCCAATCGGATACACTACCTATTTTACCTGCGAACTTTCCAGTAGAATTTGAAGGAGACACTTACAGGTTGTTTCTAGATGTTGATGAAGTTAGATGCTTCTCTTGCCACGAAGAGGGTCATATAAGTAAAAATTGTCCAGTCAACGAAGGTAAAAATCGTAATGAAACCAATAACTTCAGTTTGGTTGAAATCCATGAAGAGCTAATGGAGGACAGGGGAGAAAACACTTCATTTATCCCAAATGACAATGATACAAATAACCCTCAGCATCACGATTTTACAATCCTGAGTAAAGATGGCCTTGTAGCAAGCGCATGCACTGGTAAATTAGAAAATTCACAACGCAATTCAACAACTCAAAACACACAACAAAGAACCACAAAAAATAAAACTAACCTAGGTACAGTAAAAATAGAACATATGTATGTTACACCAACTGAGATTCCTTTTAGTATAACCTCATTAAATACAGGCAAACTAAAAAAAAATACAAACCGAGAGTATAAAACAATAAAAATACTACATAAAAGTAGTAAAATAACGAAAACATTAGTTTCTATGGTAAAACGAAAAAACAACAACCAAACAATGAAGGAAATGTTAGAACCAAATAGCATTTTAATCACGAATGACCACAAATATTCCTTAGCTTACTCAAAATTATGTCTCTGTCTTGAGATAGCTCATAATGAAAAAGCCTTTAACATTAAAAAACTTGCCACACAGTTTACAAAAAATATGTTAACCGACATAAGGCACAAGTTACCCAACCGAGGTACCGTTTCTAGTCCCAAAACAGAAATATTTTCAGACTCTGACGATTCAACGCTTTCTAGTGTTGATCTTCAGGCCAAATTAAATATTTAGACACACTTTACTCATTTGGTAAAATTTTGAAATTCTCTTTTTTTTTTTTTTTGCTTGCTATAAAAAAGCGTATTTGATGGTTCTTCCAGGCAGCAAAAACCAATCTTAATTTGGTTACTCCTTAATTTGAACATACGATATAGAACTGTGCGATTATTTTTATACCCTCAAATATTAAGAAAATTCAGGCTTTTCAGTCCTAAGTGTTGCGAAGGATAGTTGACACCGATTTATGTCGCAATTTAAATAATACGTAAGACTTTAACACCCCATCAATTCAAAACGCTGCAAAAGAAAATTACAATAACCTTCATCAAACGCATAGGTACTTACAACATGAATCCACTGACATAAATTCAAGGAGGTGGCCACGAGATGCATATGCTGATGAGATTTATATCCCGCGATGGGACGCTAAAAAGACTTCAACGAAATTTGCCCATTGCAAAGCAATTAACAGGTCGATAATTTAATTTTATGATCGAATTATATTTTTGTTTGATGGATAAATAGACATTCGTTACATAGATAATGATATTAATATTTTTTTTCTGATGGCTTGATCATCAGTTTATTTAATGGTGATAGTACAAAGCAATAGAAGTGATAGAAGAAATAACAAAACCTCATGAAAAATAACGGAGTTATGGGATTGTAAGGAGAAATATCGAGAATGGGAATTCCTTACGGCGTCGGCTTCAGTCCGTATTTGTAGTAAAAATGCGAATTCGGATAGGTTCAAAAAGCGCGGAGCGAACAAGAGCGGGCTGGCTACCTATTCAGTCAAAGTTACTTTTTAAAGTCAGTCAAAGGCAGTTCGGAGCGGGCAAGTGAGCTCCTTTAATCATCTTTCAAAATATTTCTAATATTTGAATTAAAAAAATATTTTACTTTTATTGTCAAAGAAAAATTATTGAGTGAGTATATTAGTACATAGATTTAACTTGTCTATTTGCTGCAGTGTTGTAGACATCCCCCTGTATTTACTCCTTTAGTTGACATTTTGTGAGGGAATGAGAAGGAATATATAATATATAGGAATGTGAGGTTGCACTGTGAATTGTACTCAATTGTGCGGTGGACAAATTGCTCATTGGAAAATCTCATACCGATAAAAAATCGAAAAGAAGAAAAAAGATGCGATCAGGTAGCTGGCAACAGATGGTGAAGAGGACGCCAAACACTTGAGGCCTGGACACCAACACAAGAAGACGTCATCTGGGAAGAGAGGCTTACTACATTGAAGACCAAGAATATCAAGCCGACCGTTCACTTATATATATATTCATTATCAGTTGTTAAAATAAATATTTTTTGTTAGACAAGATAAATAGTCATTTTATTTAGTTGTCCTATAGGCCTCACAATTGAAGAATAAACCAGGTGAGTCATTTCATTGTTTCTTCTCACTCAGTGTCACAAAAGGTATTAGATCTCCTAATTCCCAATCACAATTTAACACCCTCAAAAAGTCTATATCCAGTGCCGGGGTTTTATTTTAATAATTCACGAGTGTAAATAACCTGAATCCCCGATATAAAAGCGGAAGGCTATCGCCTATTCCCGCCAAAACCAATTATTTACAATAAACTTTCAGTAGGTTATTTACAGTATATCAATTTAGTCAATGATTGATTATAGCAGAGACATATTAAAACAACTATTAATCGATTCCCATTTCAATGTATCAAGATTACGAACTAAATAAATGTACAATATCATAGGAAGCGAAATGTTTGTGTACTACAAGTGAATTTGAATGTGAGTTGAAAATTAATTTTATGAAACATATATATATATATATATATATATATATATATATATATATATATATATATGTATATATGTGTGTGTGTGTGTGTGTGTGTGTGTGTCTGTGTGTATTTGTGTGTCAGTGTGTGATTGTGGTTTATAAATGGAAAAATTAGAACAATAAGCCATGAGTCTCAAATATAAATAATATGGAACTAGATGAAGCACAGAAGAGAGTAGTAAGTGGGTATATTAAACTGCCTTCAGAACAATCGAAAGCTCTTGGACAATGAAAAAAGAGCTTGACTGAAAAAAAAGCTACGATACCGCCGTACTCCACATAGTGAGAGACAGAGAATTAATTGTATTAATTAAAAAATGTATCTCTAGTTTCATCTTTTCAAACCAATTGATTCTTCGAAATAGCTAGAATCTCAGAAAGTTATCTACACATCAGTATGTTACGCAGAACTTTATATTCGTGAATCAAGCCATGTTCATTTGAAGTCGAGTACGTTAAAAACAGAATTTTTCATAGACTAGTCCAAAATAGGGACGCCTGCTCTTCGTTCGAGCTGCCTCTACAGTGGGAGACAAAAAAAGTGATCTAGTATCGAGTATTTCCAGTATCAAAAATATTTGACAGAAATACATTAAAATTGCATAGAGCATTTCATGTTTGTCTTAGACATGAAAAAAAAGTTGAATTGAAAATAAAACGCTCATAAAACAAAAATTAGGAAGTTTTTTTCATCTCCTGAAAATGTTTAGTTTTTGTTCTTACAGGCTTTTAAAGTGTGGCTGTTGAAATGTTGTATTTAAAAATATCCGATGAAATATATGCAAACGAAATTCTGAGGACAGAAGTAAAAACTATATCGAACTATGAAAATTTTAATATTTTTTTCTATTAGATTACATCCTGTTGAAGTTATCACTTTATAATCAAAACAGCTGACGTTGCAAATAATATCGACTTATCTAGAGGTCGAATGAGAGAAAAATTAGTATTTCCTACGCGGAAGTGTTCATGACGTGTGAAAATGATATCATGGAACCCTTTTCCCTAGCCAGAAGTTGTATATCTGTGTCCTTTTATGCAACTTTATAAGAAAGCCAAAGTCGAGAAGTTTATTTTTTTTTTAAGTGCTTTTAAATGATATTTAGGTATTATTTGGATGTATTGTTTATATCAATATAAATATTTTGGTATGATCGGATACAGGAAAAGGTTGCGTGACCGCTTGGTGCTGATGTTCAGTGGTGATAGGCTCAGTTGCCATGAAGAGGCTGAAGGTATTGGTCTCCCTTTTCCTTTGTTTCTGCATTCCTGATCTGTGTCAGTCACAACAGGAGCAGTTCGCGGTGAGTATTTGTGAATTAAAGGTACTGTTTGGTACTGTCCACCGCAGCGGTCGGCGGTGACTGCTAGGCAGTTGAGTACTGTTGGCAAATAGAATTTATCATATATTATATATATATATATATATATATATATATATATATATATATATATATATATATATATATATATATATATGATGCCCGTAGGCATCGTCTTGGGTCTCATACTTTACACCATTTCAACTGATAACATCTCTGCTCATCCCAATACCTTCTGCTCAACATTTTCTGATGAAACCGCAATCCTATCATCCAACTCTGATCCCAAAAAAAGCATCCTAAAGTCTACAAAGGCCCCCTCCATGATTGAGTACTGGTGTCATAAATGGCGCATTATAGTAAACTAATCCAAAATCCTAATACATTACTGTTACGCTCCAGAGCCGATCCTGTCCTTCTAGCAGCTATATAGACCAGTAAATAGAATATATTAATTGCTTATGAATACCTCAGTTAGATAAGTTTTACCAGAGAAATGTATATAACCTAGTATTATGTTTTACTAGTGTGACTCAATCTATCTTAGGTGTCAGTATTTCTTTGCGTCCTTCCATTATCAAGTTATTATTGCCTCTCGCACATAGTACTACAGAGGCTGCGATTTAAATTTTCCATTTAATATCGTCTAACATGATCTCGTCCTTCTGAATTCTACCCTTCTCCTACCGAAACGTGGCCCTTTCTAACCCGACCTGCCTCTCCCCAGAACTGTATCCCATTTACCACAAGTCAATACTTATGCCAGCATCAATGATCTCTAATTTCAAATAACTCCTTTTGAAATACCCACTTGTGAAAGGAAAAGCCTGATTCTAGGAGATCCCAACGTCTCTCACTTAACCGCTTCCCTGGTATTAAGGATCAGTGGAGATTGAGCAGAGGCACTATAACCACAGACTTACATGGCATGAGTGGAGAATCTGGTCGTTGCCTCAACTTCAATGCATGCAAATTTACAACAGGTCTTGCGGCTACAGCCGCTCCAAACTTCGAGGAGGATCGTAGATGTGTAAAGTTCTGGTGAAACTTTGGGAATTTTTCTGGGTCATGGAAAAATGGGATATTAATGTCATTTTTCATTGTTGTAGGTTACATAGAATGTAGCGTCGGCTGTTGTTTGAAGGACTATAGACTGAAAGTCTAAGGATGTGTGTGATGTTAAAAATTTAAAAAATCTCTCACAATTCAAGTCCGTAGATCTAACAGGTTGCAGGATTGTCTTGTAGGAGAGCAATTTGTTATCATTAGAAAGTTAATATCATAAGAAGTTGAGGTTAGAACTGAACTGGGCATTGGATATGATAGCGGTGGATTGTAAGAAATCTTTACTAGGTAAAAGTAGTAGATAATAGAGGAGGGATTGGTGTACAATGACAGCAGCATCGGCATGTACTCTTCCGTCAGAGTGGTCAGATGTCATATGTCAAGTATTTGGTTTATTGGCATTAGTCGAGTTTCAATAATTAGTGCCAAGCCAACGTTCTTGTCAAGTAATAATGCAGATAGTTCGTCGGTATGATTTCTAGCATCATTCGCATTCCGAAGAAGAATAGATATAGATTTCTCCGAAGTCGTTTAAGAATTTCTTAAGGGAGGGGGAATAAAATGTGATAAAAGTGTACACAATTGGGGAGTAGTGGTATCAAAGGAGTATCAAGAAATTTGAATTCGAAGAGTCTTGTTGATCCGGAATTTTCTTTTTCTTCTTGGTATAGACCGTCATAAGAAAAAACTGTAGGATCTTCTTTCGGTTTTGTGCATTCAATAGATTTGTGTCGTTCTCTACATTTGACACAACATGGTAAATGATAAAAGAAAGTCTTGGTGCCTGGCAATTGTGGCACTGGACGATTTCAATCTGAAGATGTTTTTTCAACTATCATGCTTGTGTGATAAATTCGTATTATTCTTATATTTTTTCAATCTCTTTAGTTGGTTCCAAATATATGAAAAATAAGAATAGAGCAACTTTTACTTTATTTTCTTTTAGAACATTTGTTATATTTGAAACCTAAAGTTTTCAGTTCTAAAGGTTTCAGAGTTAAGCTCGCTCTTACCGTAATTGATAGCTATGAAAATCCGCTTTGGCTTCTGTTGGCTCTATTTTTCTGTATTAAGTGTGTCCTTTGCTTTAGTTAGACCTAAGGAACTGCCAAAGCCTGTGATTGTGAACATGGTAATACTGAAGGAGATCGGATATCTGTGCGGACTCCATTATCTCTCTATCATTCTGTTAAGCAACTGATAGGGATTAAGTGTAACGAAAGCAGAGTTGGCCAGAGGTAGGGCAAGCAAGTAAGTCGATATAATGACCCATCCTGAGGACCATTGATCAATTTTTTAGATGATTAATTATAGAGATTCCTCCGAAAAATAAAAAAAGTCGAGTAAATTCGTGCCGAGTTAAAATCTCAACCTTGCGCATCAACTGATCCGGCACAGCTGAAATTAGCGATTAAATTAAATTTAATTGCCGGTTTCATTAAGATAACATTATAAATTCATTTAATGTTGGGCTAACAGAAATTAAATGAAAGGTATAAACACAGTAGTATACAAGCATAAAATTTAAAATGATCCTGAATAAAACATATAAGAAAATACCGACACATCAGGGATTTTAAAATCAGAAATAACAACGTTGAGATTGTATCCATCTTCCCAAATGAACTCTTTTTGATTTGAACATGTCTCATAATAGCTAGGAATGACTTCATATTTTTTGAACTCTGTTATTATTCTAATGGGACTTCAGTCACAGAATATTATTATTTTTCATTTCATTTCATTACAACTAAAATTTTTCTTTCTATTATAACAAATCGTCGCAATGATACAATTCCATTAAATACAATATATAGACTTTATTATTATAATTAATAATTGTTTTTTCTTACAGGGGCCTTACCGATTGGTGTTGCATCAGATCGAACAATGCGATGTAGTAGGAACTAAGATTTACCCGAACAGCACGCGGATTAACAAAGTGAGCCGTAACAAATACATCTACACGACAAACGTGACAACAGAAATCACTATCGATGACGGTGTGTCGGTAAATATGAAGGATAATAATTGTAGTAGCAGATTAAGTTTCATTGCACAGATTGTGTACAGTAAATTAACCAAGGCCACAAGCTATATCTACACTTGTTTCATGGTGAAGAAGTTAGCATGGTGTCTAAATTAGGAAAAATAATGTCTTCACTTTCACCTGCGCAACTGAAGATTTATGTTGTAAGAAATGTCTTTAAAAAGGACGTCATTAATCCTAAAATGAATTAAATCAAAGTCCTTTACCCTTTAACGTCACTTACGTACGTCGGGAAGTCGCCGTTACAAATTGGAGGAATCAAAACTAGGGTTTTCAGAGGGAATAGTGACGGGACGAGAGAACATGAAGGTTGTTCTATATAAAGTGTCATACTGTCTTGTTCTTTCGTTCATGTCATGTGAACGGCTGCGATTAACTTCATTGTTCACATAATATACAGAGTCCTTGGTGTTGCTCATACTACCGTTGGCAAACAATTAGCTGCAGACCCAATGTTGACGTAAGTTAATATTTCTTGAATTGTTATTGGTTATTTTAATATAAGGATTTATAATAAAATAATTCAGATAATTTTGTGTTATCAATTAAATATGTTTCGGCAAAAGTGTCTAATCATATTAGAAACAGTTTGATCTAGGGTTATTTTTGTTAATTATGTTTATAACAATTAACTGTCAATTGTTTTTTCTACTTGGTTGATATTTTTTTTCGTGGCTCTATAGCCCTTGTAGGAACTTGGCCTCCACAAGAACGCATCTCCAATCCTCTCTATCGTTCTCCACTGTCCGATTCCCATCTTCCGCAAATCGTCCTTCACATCATCAATCAATCTAAGTCTGGGCCTTCCTATCCTTCTTTTGCGTCCTGGTATACCATATAATAGTCTTTTAGGGTATCGATCTTCACCGATCCTTTCTACGTGCCCAAGTCGTTTTATACGGCTTGATTTAACGTAAGTGACTATGTACGTTTTTTTTTTTTTTTTTTTTTTTTTTAATTTCTTTCTCTTCATCGCTTCCTCGCCTTTAAGGCTATACGGAGTTTCCTCTGACCAGGGAGTGTGGGTGAGGATTTAAAAGACCCTCTGGCACCGGGAAGCGAACTCGTGACTGTTTTATACCAATTCTCTCATATATCAGGTAGCCGGGAAACAGCGGTGCTGTGCACACTCTTAAGCCCGTTCGGCCTCCCAGCCCACTCTATGTGTGGTTCTTTATTCTTGGAGTTCTCTGTTGTTTCTTATTTTCCATTGGCCCTTTATATGTATCGAACCAAAGATTTGCAGAAGGACCTTCCTTGCCAAGATTTCGCATATTCCTGTGTCAGGTCCCATGTTTCACCTGCGTAAGGGATAATTGGTCTCAAGATAGTCTTAGATATTCGCAAATATTTCTCTCTGCTCATGCCATAATTCTTCCGTTTATGGCAACTGAGAAAAGCTTGTTGGGCGATACCTCGATATTTTTGGCAGTTTAACCTGTCTCCCTTCTTATGTATCGGGCAAAATACTGCCACATTCCAATCCTGTGGCATCCTCATTTCCGTCCCGACGTCATATATAAGGTTGTAAATCTCCTTCACCAGTGCCTGGCCATACTTCACAACCTCTCTCCCCATTAAAAATAAATAAACCTGATGTTAGGGGGAATTATATATTTCATGTCGAGTCGCAAAATCGAACGCCGCTTGAAGGCCTAGAAAAGCCAATACAGATACGTTTATGTCTGTCCCATGCCTTTCAAAAATTAGATCAATTCGATTTTGCTGTTTTTTTAAGTTTATACATATCAAAGAAAATCAATTAGCGTATGCTTAAGCGAAATTCATCATCATCATATGTGGCACGACATCCCGTTACCGAGACTGGGCCTCCTCCAAGAGCCTCTGCCAGTTGGCTCTGTCTTCTGCTGCAGCTCTCCAGTTCCGTACACCAAGCAGGGTTCTCGCATCATAGGCCACGTTGTCCAACCATCTCGTCCTCGCCCTTCCTACCCGTCTCACGAGATGCAGCTCCTCCATCATTATTTTCTTTGGTATTTCAACGGTGCTCATTCTGGCCACATGCCCTTCCCACCTTAGTCTGGCCAGTTTAATATACGTGACTACGTCAATGTCCTGTATAGAGAGAACTGAGCTCCCTATTTTTTCTTTTCCTCAAGACATCACCCTTCCTCAAGACATCACCCTTCTTTACTGGACCATAAATCCTTCTGAGGACTCCTCGCTCAAACACACTCAGCTTCATCTCATCGTTTTTAGTCATCGTCCAAGCCTCTGAGCCATATGTCAAAACAGGCCGAACAAGGGTCTTGTATATGATCAGCTTGGTCTTCTTTGGTACCTACTTCTTAAGTGTCGGCCAAGTCCAAAGACACATATATTGGCAGCCGTGATCCTTCTTTGTATTTCTTGAGCCATGTCATTTTTGCTATTAATTTCAGACCCAAGGTATATAAAACCTTTCACTCTCTCAAACTTAAAAGAACCTACCTCAAATGGAGAGTTCAGATCCACCTCACCACCAACTCTCATATACTTAGTTTTCCTCTCGTTGACTTCTAGACCAAGTGGTCTTGGAGCTGCTTCAAGGCCTATAAACGCTTCTCTGAGAGCCCGTTCAGACCTACCTATTATGTCAATATCATCAGCAAAACCAAGAAGCTGTGTCAGGCGATTGAAGATTATATCGTTGGTCTGAATACCGGAGTCTCTTACAGCTTTCTCCTCTGCCAAGTTGAACAATAGACAGGCGAGGGCGTCCCCTTGCCTAACCCCACTGCTCACTTTAAACTCTTCGGAGTCGTCAGAACCAACGCGTATTCTACATCTCGAGCTGTCCATGGTCATCTTGATTAGGCGTACGAGCTTCTGAGGGATGCTTAGCTCTTCCAAGGTACAGTATAGTTGTCGTATGCTGCTTTAAAGTCCAGGAATAAATGATGGGTGACTACCTTACGCTCCATAGTCTTTTCTAGGATCATCCTCAGAGAGAACAGTTGATCAGTGGTTGAGCGTCCTCTTCGAAATCCAGCCTGATATTTCCCCACTTCCTTTTCAGAATACGGGAGGATCCTCTCAAAAAGAATGTTAGAGAGCAGCTTATAAGCACACGAAAGGAGTGAGATTCCTCGATAGTTAGCGCATTCTGTTTGATCTCCTTTCTTATGTATTTGGCAGATAATGGCTGTTACCCATTCCGTAGGCATAGCTTCCCTCTCCCAGATGGTCAGCATTAAATCATGCAGAGCTTTCTTGAGTTCTTCGCCTCCACATTTCAACAGCTCTGACTGGATTCCGTCCGGGCCTGGCGCCTTTCCGTTTTTCAATTTCCTCAGGGCGTTTTCCATTTCCTCCTCATCCGGGGGTTAAATAGAATTCAGGGACACCGTTCCTCTGTGTAATGCGTCTTTGAAATGTTGTACCCATCTCCTTAGTACGTCATCTTTGTGGCTTAAAAGAGTTCCATTCGTGTCTTTGCATGCCGTCACTCTGGGCTTGAAAGCTGCCCTACCCTCGTTTATTCTCTGAAAGAACAGCCGACTTTCATTTTGGCCGCGCAATGCCTCTGTGTCCTCCATGTTCTTGTTTTCCCAAGCTCTTCTCTTTCCGCGGAATAACCTCTTCTCTTCGCGTCTTTTTCTTCGATATGTTTCTTGGGAGAGCCTTGTGGGACGCTGAATCTTCTTTCTGTAGGCTTCATTTTTCACTTTTACTGCTTGAAGGCACTCAGCATCAAACCATGGGGGCCTTCTAGATTTAGTCTCGTAGCCAAGAGATTCTTCTGCTGCCTGTTTCATTGCGTTGCTGCATCTCTTCCACTGTTCATCGACCATAGATCTGTCATTAATTACTTCTTCATTAAGTTTCGTCTCCATAGCTTGTTGATACGAATATTGGTGGTCTGAGTCCTTAAGTTTTGCTACATCAATTGTTCTTTGGTCGTTGGTGGTGGTTTTTAATCAGCGAAATTCGTGATCTGACCTCGGCAATGCTGAAATAGTGATCCGTGTCCATATTTACACCTCTATAAGATCTTGAATTTATCATGTTGGACTTGTGACGGGCACTAATGAGTACATGGTCTATTTGTGATGTTGTTTGCCCATTTGGAGAGATCCATGTTGCTTTGTGGATATTCTTTCGAGGAAAAAGAGTTGTTCCAACAACCAGTCCGTGCAAATGTAGCAAAGTTCACCATCCGTAGCTTAAGCGAAAGTAGTGGAGGGGATTCGCTAATATTGATATGAGACCATATAGGTATCAATCTATGCAATCACAACTTAGACGAACTAACCTTAGCAGCAGTTAAAATTTTTGAGAACAAGTAACTTTTTTTGTGTGTGTGTTTTATTCGCAGATAGATGTGGATTTTGCCGTCTTCGGTAACGGAGGTTGGAGGCCTCACTTCTTGCAGATGGAATTCCCCAAGGCCTGTACCTCCACGAAGCAAATGATGCCGGTATTGTACGACGTTATCACTGAGACGATAAAGACTGAGTGCCCTATTCCACCGGTGAGTATTTTTTACATTTTCACTACTATCATAAAATAAGAAACAAGTAGATACCTGTTTTGTTGATTGTCCTTAAGGGACCTGCTTGCCCAGATGCATTGATGGTCACGGCAAAGGAGGGTTCGCCGTACGCGGATATTCTACGAACAATAAAAAGCTATCCTGATCTCCAAGACATTGGCGATAATGTGCAAAAAATACGAAAGTGTACCCTACTACAACACCAGTCTCCTTCTAGTGTTGAATTGGAAACCACAAGAAAAGATGGAGCGAATTCGTATTGCGACAGCACAAAAATGGCTGATAAAGCGGAGGTCACGTGCAAGAGAGACCCTGTTGTTTCTGAATTGAAGGATTTCGATGAACTGACCGTAGCTGAATAAGTAAGTGCATAAAGCGTTTAAAATCAATTGAAGGTGCAGAAAAAGTTTATATTTCCTTTATAAAGTCACTTTTCAAGGATTATCGTGGCACACAGACAGCAGTAGTTGTATTGCTTTCGGAACTAGCACGAAAAACCATAGAATGGGAGAACGTCCGAGTTGGTTGGATAAGCAGCCGGTTAAGGGACAAATTTCTCCCCAGAATTGCTTTCGATGCTTTGACTATGGTCACTTGGCAAAATATTGCAAGGGACCAATAGACTAAAACTCTGTTTACGAATTGGTGAAGTGGGACATCCATCGAAAGAGTGTACTGTCGAATAGCTTTGCCTGCTATACCCCCAACGGAAGCAATAGCAGGAACCCGGCGGGCAGCTTTAGTTTATTACCAGCTAGTGATTGAAACAGTTACTAAGCGCCGGAAATGAGATTCTTACTGCTGAACCTTAACCAATGCAAAACTGCCCAGGACCTCTGCTGGCAAACTATCAGTGAGAAGAACAGCGACGTTGCTGTGCTATGCGAGCAGTATAGAGACATCGACAGACCCTGGATGAACAATCTTAGTAGTAGAGCAACTTTTTGGGTCAGAAATGACACCATCAAGTTACAGGAAGGCCAACTGATTCAAAGGAAAGAATTTGTATGGATCATCGTGAGAGACATTTACATCTTTAGTGTTTATACATAACCTAGTGCACCACAAGAGGAATTTGAGGTTCCACTTGACGGCATTGAGCAGAAACGTCGAGGCCGGCATCCCTTTATCATCAGAGGAGACTTCATCGCATGGGCTACAGGTCATTCTAGAGAAGCGCACGCAGATATCAGAGAAGCGATCTCGGCTGGACCCTCAGTGGCTGCTGAAACCTACAAAGTCTTAGTCAGTAAAAGAAGCCGTAGGAAGATCAAAGCAGCCGGTAAGGTATCTAATAATTTAAATAATCCGATCGAGCCGACCAGTGATGCCTCTCTTGAAGATTTGGTTCCAATTACGAAGTAAGCCATGGCGGATATCGTAAAATCTGTGCCATTGAAGCAGGCAGAGATATGCAACTCTAAACCTACCTACGTCTAAATTAGTTGGCATGGTAAAATTCCAGTGGAAATCATCAGTGGTCTGCCATCTCCCACTGCAATAGGCGTTAATGCCTCTGTAGTACGTGCTGCTAAGGGAGGTTCAGTTTTTGTTCAGATGGAAGATGCGGCGATGGCAGCAGATATACAGAAGGATGAGGAGAATGTCTTCTTGACAGATTCGCTACGCTTAATGTTTTTCTCCTTAACACCGCCTCTACTCCGACGTTCTCAAAAAACGGCAACTTCTCAATATTCGATTTGACTTGTGTGAGCGCAAACTTTACTTGTCGGGCCAACTATTGGCACGTCAGTGATCGATATACTCATAGTGGCCATCAGGTCATCCGCTTCGAAATCGTGGCCATATATTCCAAAAGGAATAAGAGTAAAACACAGCCAGCAGCAGGTCGGAATTATCGATCCATCAACAGAGATTCATTTGTTATTTTGATAAGGGAAAAAATCGAATTACTACGAACAATAGAAGAAATGGTAATACAAAATAATGAAGTTTATACTGATGCATGTGATGCATCAATGACCAAAACATTCAGGAGAAGTCGGCACATGACAGTATATTGGTGGGCCGAGTATATTGCTGTTCTCCGACGAGCTTATCTTCTCACTAGATGATAAGCCGAGCGAGCTAGAGGTCGCTTACTATAAGAGGCTTGGAAGCAGAAGCATAAACAAGCTAAAAGGTACCTAGTCAAGGCAATAAAATGTAGCAAAAGCAAATGTAATTGCTGGAAGAAGCTGTGTGAGGTGGTAAACGAAGACAAATGGGGTATGCCATAAAAAACATTCATGGCCAAACTAAAAAGTTCAAACTTGTCACCCCCGTGCGCTCCAGAATTATTAGAAAAATAGTGGTAGTGATATTTCCAAGACGTCCGGAAGTACTCATTGACAACATAGCGAGATCTGGAACTCATGCCGGAAATCACAGAGGATGAGCTAGACCTAGCATGCAGGAAAATAATTGACTTCAAAGCTCCAGGCCCACATAATATTCCAAATCTTGCCTTGAAAATGGCTATTAGGTCAAGGCCATAAATCTTCTTAGAGGTGTACAACTCCTGTTTCAGGGAAGGTGTTTTTCCAACACAGTGGAAGAAGCAACGTCCAAAGGGTAATGGGCTCCCGCAAGACCCATCATCTTCTGTATTTTTTTGGTATCAAAGTTGCTCGGGAAGTCATTACGGGAAAGAGGTGGTAAGATGCACCTCGTTGGACGTTAAAGATGTTTTTAAATGAGCTCGGCGGGATTGTATCTTGGACGGAGTGCGAAGAACGCAAGTCTCACAATGCCTCATAAAGATTATTGAGTTATTTCACCGATAGAATCCTATGTTATGATACAGAAGCTAAATTAAAAAGGTGCAAGATCACAGGTGGTGTCCCCCATGGTTCAGTTCTTGGGTCATTGAAGTTGAATCAACTTATTGTTAAATCAATTATATTTATTTTCACTTTGTTACTTGTGACTGCACTCCTCAACCAGCTCCTTTTCAATAGACATTGTCAGAAAACTTGCATGCAAATTAAAATTTGCTTATAAATCCTAATAGTTTAAGTGACCAAATAGAGATCGATTGTGATAGTGATTGGTGATAACGTATTGGTTCCCCAACGGTATTGTGTTTAGTCTTGTGACTGGTGTATATTTACTTATTTTGTTATTGTTCGTGTTCTAGTGTTTTTCATTATTATGTTCATTATGTTTTCTCGTTCTCCCCCTCCCCCCCCGTTTGTAAATAAGTTTTTAGTTTTAAGTAAAGTTAAGTGGAATCAGGAGTTCGTTATCTTCTCATGGGTGAAGACTTTCTGGACTTTAATCGTTCCTACAAGATCTTGAATTTAAAACAAATCACTTTCATACAATTTTCAATGGACAATAATTGAAAGGTAACCTTCATTTAATATATGTGCATAGTTAACCTTTATACTCTAGTGTACTCTAAATAGAAGAATATTATGTAGTGCTTATTACTTTTTTGGCAGTATGTATGTTTGACCCAATTGTAATTGATATGGAAGAGGAGAGTTCCCAAAAAGGGTTCTAAGCGAAATGCCAAACTGGCAAGGAAAGGTTCTCTTGAATTCTAGGTAAACTTGACAGAGCCTGCAGCTAAAAGTCAACTTCAATCGGCTTTCAAATCTAGGAGAATCTCAGAGTTTATGTTCAAAGAGCAGATAACCGATTGAATATCAAGGTGCAAAATTATATAAATAAAAAAATTCTAACCTTTCTGGATATTATTAAAGCACTAGATGATAATAGTAAGAAAGTAAATAAAAATGAAGACCTTCTAACTCATCCAAAAAGCAGTTCATGAATCACTTACGACTCCCAGCATTCATGAGATGATTACTCGACTGGTGATTGAAAAACACGGTGCCAAAAATTATTGAGGGACTTGAAGTAGCTTGTGTGGAACCACAAGCACTAATCTTCGCCAAAGTTGGTCATTCAAGAGAAGCGCAGGCAGATATCAGAGAAAGCAAGTCCGGCTGGACCCCCAGTGGCTGCTTAAACCTACAAAGTCTTAATCAGTAAAAGAAGCCGTAGGAAGGTCAAAGCAGCCGGCAAGGTATCTAATAATTTAAATAATCCGATTGAGCCGACCAGTGATGCCTCTCTTGAAGATTTGGTCCCAATTGCGAAGTAAGCCAAGGCGGATATCGTAAAATCTGTGCCATTGAAGCAGGCAGAGATATGCAACTCTAAACCTACCTAAGTCTCAATTAGTTGGCATGGTAAAATTCCAGTGGAAATCATCAGTGGTCTGCCATCTTCCACTGAAATAGGCGTTAATGCCTTTGTAGTACGTGCTACTAAGGGAGGCTCAGTCTTTATTCAGATGGAAGATGCGGCGGTATTTATCCATGCGGCGATAGTTATTGGGTGGCATAGTCTACGAGAAGTAGGTCTAGAGGCCAAGATTGCTCTGAAGAAAAGACCTAGGCTTGAAATCTAAGGTGTATCCAATTCGTGGACTGCGGAGTCATTAATAACGCTCTCACGGGTAAAGTTAACTGAAAACCGATTCCAGCTTCGCTCGTAAATGATGGACTTCAACCTGTTTGCACTTCTACAGCAAGGAACGGAATAATTAAAAACTGGTTGCTGGAAGTGCACCTAACGCTAAGATTCCATCTAATAGGCATGGCAAGCTTGAATGGAGGTTGGTGGTCAATGACCTTACAACATAATCTCGACGCCCGGCGTTGTACCAAGTGTCAGGATTACGGACACACTAAGGCCACATGTCTATCAGATGTTCTGGTCTGCACCTGGTGTAGTACTGAACATGTACTCAAGGAGTGTCCCTAGAAATTAACTCAACCAACTGACTAAGCTGGGTGAATTTATTCCACGAAGTCATGAACAATCCCTCTAGCCTAGTGGTTATGAACGATCCCTCTGCTACTCCGACATTTTTTAGCGCTAGGGGGCAGAGCTGAATTGATGTGACATTGGCATCATCGTTGCTAGCATACTGCAATCATCGATTGGATCCTCCGATCTGAGACGAGTTCCGATCACCAAGCGATATCCTTTAGGCTGAAGAAAGATACAGAAGTTTCCCTCGGTATATAAAAAGGTTACCTAACTCGAAAAGGAAATTGGAGTGCTTTCGGTTATTGATGGATGGAAAACTGATCGACAAAGACAGGGATGCGAAGATCTGGATTACCAAATGTCCAGGATCACTAATGTCATCCACGAAGCCGCTAAAGAAACTCTTCAGCGCTGGAAGGTGAGGGCTCAACCTGCCCCATGGTGGACGACGGTTGTACCAGAATTGTATTTGCGAAGAGAGGCGCATTTCACTAAGTGATGAGTACAAGTCCGAGCAAAAGTCTTGGGACGAATTCATTGTTCAGGAGTCATCCAAGAATCCTTTTGGTGTACC